TTTTTTTTTTTTGTCTTTTATTTCTTTTGGATAAAAGGAAAGGAGGGATTAGAGTGGAATTCTATACACAACGCGAGATGCACCCCTTTTCACTGCTGGAACACTCTGTAGATGCCGCACTCCAGCACAGATTAGATATCATCAAACAACAACAAGAAAAAGAAAAAGATGAAAATGATGAAAATGATGAGATTGAAGTACTTGGACAGTCTTCTATTTCTCCTGTATGGTCTTACGCAACGCCTCCGGCAAAGAGACAGAGAGAAATTCTATTCCCACATCATCATACAATAACAGAAACAACAACTATCGATGCGAATGAAGATCAGGACGATATTGAACAACTCCTGCGTGATGCATTTTCACTTGCAGCTAGTCATTCTGCAGAAGAGAATGAAATCATTAAATTATCCTTTACACAAAGTAGTGAGAATATTTATCGAGATGCTATGCTGAGAGCCTACCACTTGTATGGAGAAATAGAGAACTGTTTTGATGATTCTGATAAGGACTTTCTTGAGAGATGTTGTAGTTCTGACAACAAGAAGAAGAAGGAGAAACGCCCTGTAGACTTATCCACTGCGTTGATGGAGTTATTAGAGTCACCAGCTATGCAAAGAGAGAGAGAGAGAAAGAGAGAGATGATATGATGTGATCTTCAAGATGGAGAGAACTAATAAATAATTAGGGCTTCCGTCTATCATTATCGTTTACGAACATTATCTATTGTTTGGAACTTGTACAGTATAGAGTATATATATATATATGTTTAATTTATTTTTAATATTCCTTTCTTCGTTTTGTCTGTCTAATGTTTCTTTTTATTTATTTATTTATTTATTATTATTATTCTCTGATTGTGGTTATTGTAATTGAAGTACTGCTGTTGCTGATGCTGCTGCTGCAGTGAACATTATTTGCGCAGAGAAAAAACAAAAGAAGACTGAAAGGAAGTAGGGTAGTGACGTGCCAATACACATGTTCTTTCTTTTATTTTTTTCTTACTCTTTTCTCTTCTTTCTTACCAATATATATATATATATATATAGTAGCGTGTGCTTGTGTGTAGCACAAAAAAAAAAAGAAGAATAATCATAACACCTATAATAATAAGAGTTGCCTTGCACTGCAGGCGAATTAAAAAAAGAAGAATAAAAAGAGGAAAAAAAACAAAGAAACAAACAAGCAAGCAAAGAAACAACAACAAAAAAAAGGCAAACACGATATTTTAGTTTAGCCCGCCTTTTTTTTTTATTTATTTTTATTTTTATTTCCACATATACATACATACACATTACATACACACAGTTCTCTTTTCAGACTATTTTCTGTACATCTGCCGCGTAAACTGTGGGGATTGTACTGGGAGATATTCGACTTGCTGCGTGCTCTTCACTGCTTTGGTTTTCCTTCTTCGTATAAATATAATAATAATAATAATAATAATAATAATAATAATTACTATTACTATTATTATTAGTTACATTGGTGTCGATCACGAAGGGAAAAAAAGAAAAAAAGAAGAAACAGTCTTATCTAGAAGCACAGAAAAAATCAGGTGAAGTGAACGAGGAGTCTAAACAAAGTAAGACGGAGGAAACTGGAGCCCCGGATTTTCTCCTTTGTATTTATTTCTTGGCTGCTTTGGCGCATTAGAGTGAAAAAGAAGTGGAGTGGAGTGGGAGGAAGTTGTCTGTGTTCACGAAAAAAAAGCACTTTGTTTTTTCTCTTTGATTTCGGGATCTTTACTCACTGAACGCATCGTCATTCGTTTTATTTTTGTTGCTCTGTCAATTGTCCAATAAAGAAGAAGAAGAAAAAAAATAAAATAAATAAATCAATAAAAAAAGAAGGGGGAGAGAGAGAGAGGAAAAAAAAAAGAGTGTGATATCGTCAAGGAATGCACTGCTGTGGATACAGTGGAGCAGATGTCGTTATTCTTATCACCCTCTTTATGGTGACCATGTACTCTGCGTATAGTTACTACACCTATTTATTTCCCCACACACTCAAAGCATTAGAGTTGGCTTTCTTACAACCCTTTGGCTTAGAGGTGGTACGACCAACTTCTTCCTTCCCTCTACATCTCAGTCATTTGTTTAATGTCTCACCTAAGAATTGGATTTTATTTGGCATTTCCGTATTCCTGTTAATACTCGCTACTTGGGCGTATGTGATGGCAGTAGTGACAGATCCTGGTCGTGTGCCACAGGCATTCCGGCAACGATCTCCAAAGAGTCTTTTATTAGCACGAGAGATTGCGGGAGCCCCACATCTTTGTCCATTATGTATTGTATACAAACCACAAAGGGCACATCACTGTAGTCATTGTGGACGATGTGTGTTGAAATATGATCATCATTGTCCCTGGCTTGGACAATGTGTAGGGTTTTTTAACTACAAGTTATATCTTCTTGTGGTATTGTATACGTTTGTTTTTACACTCTGGGTAAGTACACTACTACTAATCGCTATTTTTGTACATCTTGTGCAACACTATGAACTCATTGGAGGTATTATGATCCATCGTAATCCACAAGATGCAGTTTGGCGTAATGGGAAGTGTCAGTTGGGACCATTCCTCTTAGCGGGTGATACCCATTCCACTACTACTACTACTACTACTACTACAATGAATCAACAAGATAAGGGAAATACTGTAAATACACCTAAATTACTATTAGGTGGTATGGATGGTTGTCCACCTTTTTTGGGAGTTTATGTTTGTCTCGGAGAATCACTTATTTTTCTTCTCTTGACAGCATCGTTGTTGATAAAACACTGGAAACTTGCTCGACATAACTTGACAACCCTTGATCTCGTTATTCAACAACATCAATTAGAACAAGGTGTTTGTACGGTTCCACCACCAAATCCATTTGACCTTGGCGTGAAGGAAAACTTACATCAGGTCTTTGGTGATGGTGATGAACACGGGGAACACATGTATCCAAACTTTATTCTTAGATGGGTTTTTCGCCTATTACCTTTTTCAGCGTACCCCAAACAGAAAGAGTTGCGTCTAGACTTGTTGTTGAATGATAATAATTCTGGGAGCCCATCCAATATGAAGGGATTATCTGCAGTTTCAGTAGCGAACTATGGAACGTTAAAACGTTCGGATTCGGACGTCAATCCAAGTTCTGAAACATCCTCTTTAAGTGATCTTCGTCATCATTCATTGCAGTTAACAAGAAACTACAGAGGACAACTTTTGGGTTTAGCTTTCCCAACTATATCCTCTCCTATGGAATCTACAATTGTATAAGGCAATATATATATATGTGCATTTTAACACTTATCTTTGTATCATCCATTTATTTATTTATTTATTTATTTATTAAATTCATTAGAGTTTGATATGGTTCTGTCTATATCTATATCTATAGCTCTCTCGCTCTCTCTCTTTTCCCATTGTGTACTGGAATGGGGGGTGGTTTCAAAGAGGGAGAAAATGGGAAAGGACCAGCAAGAGCAAAGAAAGCAAAAGAAACAAAAAAATAATAATAATAATAATTCATGTGAAAGTGGATAAGATCATTGGATGGTGAGTAGTGAGGAGGAGCAGGTGAGAGGAGAGTGCAAGACGTGTTAGGTGGGATATCGTCAGTTAGGGTAAAACCTTTTTTTCTGTTTTTCTGTTTTTCTGTTTTTTTTTTTTGCGTATATGTGTTTGTACATTCCATGGTTATGGGAAGAAGAATGACGATACGAAAACTGGAGGGAGATTCATGCAAAGAAAAGGAAAAAAAAAAAAAAAAACAACAACAACATCAAAAAAAAAAAAAAGAAGCAATTCCTTTCGGGATGTGTGGAAGCACATAAGAAGAAGTAGAACCGCAATTTTTAAGAGGTAAAGAAATGGAATCGCTTCGTTTCAAAGTATGTGTTTACATGAGAAAATGAGTAAAGTCAAGGTTCTTCTTGTCCTTGTACTAATACTCTTTATTTTTTTCTTTTCTTTTCTTTTCTTTCACCTCTCTACACGATGAGGTGTTTGAAAATGGACCCTTATTGTTGTGTGTGCTTATGGATATATATATATATATATATATATATATTGTATTTTTCTCTCCTTTCTGTTTCTTTTTCTCTTTGGATATCATTCTTACCACTACTGCTATTCCTATTTATTGCTACTTGGAAGGAAGCAGTACTGAACACAGAGTGAGTAAGTGAGTGAGAGAGTGTGTGTGTGTGTAGAGCGATCATGCAGCGAAGTCAGTGGCTCTTCACATCTCTTTCTTCTTCTTTATTTCACCCAACGGCTCTGCGGCGGCAGTGCGGTAGTGGTGGCTGCGGTGGGTGTGGCGGCATCTCCAACATTGAGAACTTCGCAAAAATATTTTCAGACGCGCAGAAAAACGCCTCTGGTGGTGGCCCTAACGCTGATTTGTTTGATGGTCGCTTTATGGGCGGAAGTCCCACGATGGATCCATCTATGCTGCAGAATATGCACCAGACATTAAAACAATCTCTCACACCGGAGATGCGGGATTCCATGCGAGCTATGATGGAGGGTTTACAAAGAGGCGATGGACTGCCGCAAATGGGAATGATGGCATTTGGTGTGGGTGAGAATGAAAAGGGAAAGAAGGTGGCAAGAGGTGCAAAGTTGGCATATGATCCAAACACGGGAAAGTTTACGAAAGATTTTGTGGAGAAACAAATAGAGGAAGATGATCCAATGTTGTCTAGTGGAAAGACTGAACACTACAAGGCAGAGGATGATATTGAGGTACAGTTTGAAGAGGATGCAAAACAACATGCAGGGAAGGCTCCAGAGAAAATAGCTGAAATGGAGGTTACAGTTGAAGAACCGTTAGGGAATACCAACCGGGGCAGTAATGATGGAAGAAAGTAAGAGATAGGGTAACGCTGTTATTTCTTAGTTATTATTATTATTATTATTATTATTATTATTATTATTATAAATATATATATGTATTTTAATCCATGAAAGTGAAATAAGACACATACAAAGACTTTCTTTGGGATTACATGTCATTACCCTAATAACAGCTTTCATTAACCTTGATATCGCCTCTAAAAGAAATAGAAAGAAAAGAGAAGAAAAAAAAAAAAATGCAAACATAGAAAGGAAAGTAGTAGTAACTATGTTCTTTTTTTTTCTTTCTGATCTTCTATTTGGAGTTTCTCTTCGTTCGATAAGTCCTTTTCTTCTGTATTGTAATTGCTTTTTCTGAGGATACACATGCAGAAATAAGATCGTTTCTTTTATTATTATTTGCCGATCAGTATTATTATCACAGGTTAAAAAAAAAAAAAAAACTCAAAAAAGTCACTTGTTCTTTGTGGCCGTTGATTATCTTAAGGTTATTTTTATTTGGACTATGTCCCTTTCCTGTATTTTTTCTTTGTTTCACTTCTCCCTTTTTTCATTATAAACATCTTGTGATAATAAGAACAACCACAACAACAAGAAGAAAGGTTTCTATTTTTCCTTTGAACAAACAAGTTATAATAAGTGAAAAGAAATAATAATAAAAAAAAGATGTTCTCATTCACTAAGTTCTTCTTGACGCTGTTAGTTACTCATTTAACGATAATATTCCCTTCCAGAGCGGATGCCTTACTTGTGGCATCATCTTCAATTGAGTACTGCGAGCGTGGAAGCGTCACTGAGGCATTTCCCTGCGAAAAGAAAATGATTGTAACCCTATCAGTGGAGAGTGGACAACTGGAAGGGGTAGAGGAGGTTGTGTTGGTGCGTGAGGCTGTGGACAAGACGAGCAGTGGTGGGAACGCCAACGTGATGTTTGAACCAGTACGCCTGACAACACGAAAGTCCCGTGTCCAGTACCGTTACCCTGTATTTTATGAGCGAAACTTCAATGCTCAGCCATATGAGCGACAGGTTACTACAAATTTTTTTGAAGGATGCAAGGATACACCCGGTGAAACCTCAACGTGTGGGGATGTACTTGACACTTCTGGAAACTCAATTCCATACAGTCAAGGATTCTGTTGTACCTGCGGTGTTTGCCAATTGGCTGGTGTCTGTCCATCTGATAGCCGTAGTGTTCAGACGTGTAGTTTATTTGGTGCGGTAGGTATGGCCTCATGTCTTCGCTTTGGAGATATGTGGTACAGTGGGTATAATGTGGGATCATCATTAGGGTGGTATCACATTCAAGTAGGGTTATCAAACACTGATAAAAACACCACAAATAAGAAGGAAACAATACTTGAATTGGGTCCAGACAAATTACTGAGTTCTTCACCTGAGTTTGGTGCTTTGGCTCGTATTGTAGGTGATTTTATGCCATCAGAACTACCACTTGATCTTGGAGGTAAAATGCTTTTTATTCCCACTTTACCAAAAATGCATGCACGTGTCTTGGCAGGTCCAGCAGAGTGGATTTTACTTGATAAGAACCGTGTAACAGTGGATGGTCGAGAGTGTAATAAGGTGGGTGTCTCGTATGAGGGATTCGCAGGACAGGGAAATCGATGTGATATGTATCGTGGTTCTTGTTTGGCTGGTCAATTGGAAAGTTACCGTCAAAGTGACTTGGAACAAGAAGCGAAAGGCGGTAAAGGAGAATATATGGTTCGTTTCCTCGGTGACTTTGATCTCACCCCTGGCGCTAATGGAACTTCACCATATATCGCTTATTGGGTAAAAGGATCATTTTCCACAATGATAACAGTTACAATTTCTGCTGACAAGCTTCAGTATTTGGTATCTGTTTCTCCAGGAAAGATTGTGGCTGCTGGGGTGACAAATGATACTATTGGTGCCAGCACAAGAGATGGTGTGCTTACAGTAAGAGTACGTAATACCGGTACACTAACGGCACAGTACACATTAAGTGTAGGAAATTGCACCACTGACGTTCACCCAATGATTGGTCAAACTTTGAGTTTAAAACCAGAGGAGGAAGTAACACGTCATTTTGACTTGTTTATTGAAGATACCAGCAGTGAGGGGAAAAAAGAATGTGGTGTGGCTCTGCAAGATGCACGAGGTACTGTTGTGGATACAAAGATTGTGGAATTTCATGTCACTCCTGTTGGATGGACAAACGGTACACAAGGCGGTAGTGCCCCTTCAGATGGTGGAGTGGCTGTGGATGGAGGACGTAGTTCTGTTTGTTCATCTTGTAGTTGGTACAACTTGTTTTGTTTTGTGAAAAATGGATGCCTATGGCAACCTTTTATTTATGTGGTGATTGGTGTGGCTATTATTCTACTAGTTTATATTCTTCAAAAGTACTGTATGTGCTGTAGTACGACACACAGGAAAGAGGCTCACCCACATGAACCGGTAGCTGTACCACAAGTTGTAGTTCAGCGGGGAGTATCACCCTATGCCAGCTTCATGCATACATCTCCTTAATGATTTTTAAAAAAAAAAAGAAAAGAAAAAAAAGGGAGGAGTGATAACTGATGTTGTTTTACTGTTTTATTCTTCATCCATTATGTAAAGATGAAAGTGATATTTTCTTTTGTTTTAATTGTACTTTTTTTTGGGGGAGTTTTCTCTGCCTTTTTATTAGAGGTGGAAAGTAACCCCCTTATATACATATATTTATTTATTTATTTATTTTTTATGGATAATTGTGAGAGTTTTTTTTTTTTTTTTCACTGTTGTTGCTCTGTTGGCTGTGTCATGACGCATTACCATGGGGCGTGTTAATTTTTTTATTTTTTTTCCTATTTTACCACAGCCTCGATTCTCATTCTATAGAGTTACTGCTGGTTGTTGTCCTCATTGTTCTATGTGTATCTGCAGATTTTATTTCCTTAGATTCCTCTCTTTCCCAAGATAAAAAAAAAGGAATAATAATTAGGCGTGTGAGACAAATACACATTTGCTATTATTATTAATGTTCTTGGTACTGGGGGAGGTGGCTTATTAGGATTATGATTATTATTTTGATTATTAATATTTATTCACATTTTTCTTTTTTCTTTTTTTTCAATCTTTGAGGGAGAGGAAGGCAAAGTGTTTTGTCTCTTTTCCAGGGAGATTCTAATAGGGAATAAGGTGGTTTTGTTGGAACTCTGAAAAATATTTCTTCTGGGTCTTTCTTTTTTTATTATTTTTATTTCGTAATAATATATATATATCTTGTTCGTTATTTATTTTTGTTTTTCATCTCCTTTTTTGCACCCGCCTCTGTGTGGTGGAGGAGGATGAGGAGAAGGAAAGGGGCAGGTACAGGGACTTCTGGTTTATGGGTTTCTGTAACTTTTATTGATGATACAATTATATATATATATATATATATATATATTTTATCTGCTCTTGGTTTAATTTAAAGAAACAGTGGTGGAATCACAGTGTAAGGTTATTCCCTTGAAGTATTTTTTATTGCTTTCACTCTTTCTTTCTCTTTTTTTTTGTTTGTATATATCTCTATTATCATACAATGGGAACCTCGGGATAATATATATTAGGAGAATTGAATATCAGAAATACGAAACGAAAAAGAAGAAAAAAAAATAAATAAATCCAGTTATTAGATGATAGATATGCAAACTTTAGTTTTACTTATCTCCACTTTGTTGCTCACCCAAGTATTTAGTAATGGTGGCAGTAATGTGGTACATGGTTTAACATTTGGAGTTATTGGCGATTGGGGTTTGGGTGGTTATGCAAGTGCATGGAATTCGGAAATTATTTCCACCCGACGATATGCAGAAGTATGTGGAAAACTTGGCTGTAATTTTACAATCAGTGTAGGGGATAATTTCTACTGCGGTGATCTCTCCTACTGTATACGACATTCATTTGAGGAAGACATGAAAAACATCTCGGGTCCATTTTTTCCCTCTAGAGGAAATCATGATAATTTAGGTGGACAACTGGCGTATGCGAAGCGGAATCCCCGCTGGTATTGGCCGAGTCCTTATTATACTGTGAAGCTTCCTATAGACGATACGGGATACACTGTTCAACTATTTGCGGTGGACACAGTGGACCGTTCTCTGCAGGGTGGTCATCAATACAATTGGTTGGTGAAGGAGCTACAGGCGAGTGATGCACGGTGGAAAATTATCTTTGGACATTATCCCACGGCTGGAAGTGGGCGCCACCGTCGAATGAAGATGGTAAGTAAGTTGAATTGGATTATGAAAGAATATAATGCCCAGGTGTACTTTAGTGGTCATGATCACATTGTGGAGGTGAACAATTTGGAGGGGCGGGTGTTGGCGATCAGCGGCGGGATGTCCCGAGGGGCGATGATGGCACACGGCATTGGCGGATCCGCCCGTCGCTTTACCCTCACAAGTCCCAATGAATATAGTCGCTACGTTCAGCCGTGGGCCATTCACGGATTTCTCACTGTTGATCTCGCCCCCAACACTATGAGTCTGCAGGTGTGGGCCTCTGGTGGTGGAATGCATTATGAGTTTGTCGTCACACACGACTGGATGCAGCGAGTGATGGAGTTGCCACCGGAGGAACGTAATTTTTGGCCTCCACCCGAAGTCGTACTGCAGTCGATGAAGGATGAACGGAAACTACCACCAGGACCAGGTGGAGGTATCGTTTTTAACGCAGATGGTACACGTATGGGGTTTGAACAACAAGGGAATAATACCCCAAATAAAGATAAGAATGAAACTACTCCAGGAAATACGAACACTACTAATACCACCAATACTACAGAGAATACTAGTAATACTAGTAGAACCGACACCAATACACCGGAAACACCAACAGTACCAGCGTTTAAACCATTACCACCAGCAGCGGTTCCAGAATACGTTAGATACGCTCTTTCAACAGAGTGTGAAAATTGTGACGGGAAACCGCGTGTGGGAAAACGATTTACCCTTCACATCAATGGTATTACTCTTGGTCCACAGCACAGATTATTCTTAACGAGTCGTGTGGAAGGTTGTGAGATAACCGGTATAGGAAGACATTTACTCCCAGGAACGAGTGTTGAGACTCCACGGAGAAATATTTTGCAATTCAATGTGTCAAAGCAAGTGAACAAGGCCTATGTTTGTTTAAGCATTGATGCTGGAGCCACATATGGCAAGATTTTTCGTGAAGACACTCTTGATGAATCTAATGTATTTTCTGTGATACCTGAATAGCGAATTTATGATGATGAATATTTTAATCTTTACTGTTTGTGCTTTAGTTGGGTCTTTTTTTAAAAAGTTGTCCGAAGGTTTTTTTTTTTTTTTTTTTCTTTCTTGTACAGGGGCTGTGTGAAACATGAAAACGAGAAAAAAAAAGAAAGAAGTTTTTTAATAATAATAAAAAAAAATATAAGCAGATACGAAGGAAAGAAAAAGAAAGAAAAAGGGTGTGTTTGCACATAATTTTTTACTTTGTGTATGTAATCTCTTCGTTTTGATCCTTTTTTTTTTTTTTTTACATCATTTGTGACTTACCTATAGGAGTTACACAAGTTGAAAGTTGAGTACCGGTAGGAGTCCATAATTGCAAATTCCATAGAAATACAGGACGGTATTTGTTTTTCCCCAGGGAATATACTTTCTTTTATTATTCTAAACAGAGTATATATATATATATATATATATATATATATATATATATCTGTGTTTTCAACATGAAAACTAAAGGTGCCATTAGACAACCATGGACGTTTCTTGCTGTTACTGCCCCATTGTGTCTGTACTACGTGCTATTAGCTGTGATGATGGCAGGGATGTGTCGTTGGTATAGTTTTGCGCTTGCAATTGCTACAATAGTTTTTCTAGGCATTCTTATACCAATAGGAGTTATCGCACAATTGCGTTGTGATAGAGCGAATGCTGAAGTGACAGCCCCACTGGTATGCTTTACTAATCCAAATGAGTTTGAAAGTGAAGCAGTAGAACATCGTCATCAGCGTCAGAGATCTAAGACTCCACGAAGTTTACGTAACCCCTCGGTAGCTTCTCGGATACGAGAAGAGAAGTTAGGATATGATGCTGCTGCAGATAATGCATTCAATAATAATACTAGTAATAATGGTAGTAATGATAATGAGACTTCAACACATTTGGGAGAACAACGCCTTTCACCAACGGCATCTACTTCGCTCACAAGTAGTTCCGCTACAGATGTTAAACCTATGTCATTTCCCGTATTGCGTCAATCATGGTTGCAGAATGGAACAACATACTCTTCTGGTGAAGAGAAAAATCCTTCAGAAAGGCAGACTCATCTGAGGTCTATACAACACAATCATAATATGAGTATTGACTCTACACGAGTAGAAAGTCTCACAAAACTCTCCCTTGCTACGCAGTGTTCATCAAATCAACCTCAGAGATTTCTTGATTATGAGGAGGATGATGGAGGAGCTGTAGAAGATAAACCTAACCCTGCTCTTGCCGAGATGCGCTCACTGGACCGAGAAGAAGTAGAGAATAGACGTCCTATGGCTTTTTCAATTTACAGTCAAACCACACTCAATGAATCTCCTCTTGGAGTATCTTCGATTAAACCACTACCAGTAATAGTACAATGGGTGTCTATCATTTGTCTCATATTATTGGAAATACTACTACTTGCAGGGTCATTTTGGATAGCATTCAGTAGCGAAGAAGGCATTGCAGCTATTCCTGCTTTTTACGCCCCATTTATCTTAATGCATTTTATGCATCTTCTTCGGTTTGTTTCCGGAGACGAAAAAGATACCGTGAAAAGCAATTGCATTTCCTTTCTTGCTCATCCTGCTACATCCCTCTTTGTTGCTATTATTGGAATGATTTTGTACATTTTTGCCGTTGCCCAATCCTTAAGAATGAGTTGGACGGAACCATATGTATGGGGATGTGATGGTACGGTGTCTATGGCTCTACGTGCGGTTTATTATCTCTCGCCGCTTCCTATTGTGGTGGCCCCGTGGTTTGGGCGGGGATTCGCCGTGGCGGCCCGCGTCGGTGGGATGAGAGCCTCAACGGCCGGAAAGTACAAAACACCCCGCCGCGCACCTTCACTCCAACGGGGATCCCGCAGTCGTAGTCATTCAAATCCATTTCACCAGGGCCGTGTTAGCGCATTACGGGTGTTTCATTCGGATAATGAATTAGATGATGGAGAATTATCATCTATTCAACTCTCACAATGTCCATCAGCTTCTGCTACGCGTAATTGCAATCGCTCAGGGCGCTCCATCGTCTTTACATCATCGGGAACAGCAGCAGGGAGTCATGTCTCATCCGTTCATCATGCTGTACCTGTCGGTTTTCAGCCACAAGTGAAAAGCGTTACACTATTGTATGTGGCATACCGTGATCCAAGAAGAGTATCCACTAGTGTTGATGGTGAAAGAAGAGAATTCATAAATAATAAAAATCCAAAGGAACTTCAGGAAATGGAATCGGCTAATTTTCAAGCATTATTAAATGCAGCAAAGGAAATGGAAGCCCATCATGGTCCATTTATTTTAACTGCCCATCGTGATGCTTTATGCTTTGTATGTGGTGTACAACCATTTTCTGCAGATCCGATCCTTTGGGCAGTTGATACGGCAAATGATTTCTTTAAGGTATTCGTTCCACCAACTAAGAGTGAAAACAATTATTCTCTTGTTGCCGCAGTACTATATGCTCCTCATGCGTTAATTTCTATTGTAGGTACAAGTGAAATGTGTACGGTGCATTTTTTGGGTAATGAACACTATGTTGGAGAACAACTTCTCTCACGTGGTTTTTTGCTCCGTAGTCTTGAGAAACAGAGACGGTCAGGAAAACCCTTTTCTACAAGTGGATTATTACTTGATTACCGCGCTGCACATCTCGCCGCTTCAAGGATTTTATGTCGACCTGTTGGTATAGTTCCTAATGTCTCTTCTACATGGACCACGGGATCAATAACGGGTGCTAATTCACCATCCAAGACAATGTTAGAGAATTATACTGTAATTTACGACTTTGTTTTGAGAATCAATGAAAAACATGAGGAGTGGCACCTTGCGGCGGAAACGCGGGAACAGCGGTCGGCAGGTTTTCTGCCAGCAGTTGAGGCAGCCCAGGCATTCTTTCAAGGAAACTTGAATGCGGCTAAACGTGCTCTTGGAAATCCCACAAATAGTGAACATGACGCGTTGCTGCAGCTGATGTCGTCAGACGTGGATCACATTATGGCAGTTAGTAAGGGCTCGAGAAAAACGACAGAATGACGATAATGAGTAGAAGAAGATTATATACGTTTTTTTTTTTTTTTTTTATTCTTGTTCTTTTTTTTATTCTTTT